TTGAAAATTAAATATGTAATTCAATTTTTTTTTAAATAAAGGAAAACCCTGCTATTTGCAATAAAATGGGTAAACCTGGAAGACATTATGCTGAGTGAAATAAACCAGACCCACAAAAACTGCACCATCAAGTCTGGGAACCTAATTTAAAAAATCAATATATTAGTATGTTGTGGACCTTAAATATATACAATTTTTATTTGCCAGTAAAGTGAAAAAAAAACATACAATGTCACTTAAAGTTGCTGAGAACAAAACAAAACAAAGCAAAAAACCCTGAAATCCTCAGGTGTAAATCTAATGCTGAAAACTACAAAATGCTGAAAAAAGAAACCAAAGAAGATCTAAGTAATGGACATATGTAATGTGTTCATGGATTTGAAGACACAGTGAAACAATGGTCTTACCTTCTCCAAAACGGAAACACAGGTTTAACACAATTTCTGCCAGAATCCCACCATGACTTTTGTAAATATAAATACGATTATTCTAAAATTTATATGGAAAGTCAAAGAATTAGATGCAAACATCTTACAAAAGCAGAAAGGGGGTACTGGATATAAAATCCCGTCATTAAGACGGACTGGCACTGGCAGCAGTTAAACACCTAGATAAATGTGGCAGGACAAGAACCTGGAAGTAGACCATGCAACCAGGCCCAGCCGATTTTTGATAAATGACAACAGCCATTTGTGGTAGGCTGAGTAACAGTCTCTCTAAGACGTTCCTGTCCTGATCCCCAGACCCTGTGACTGTTACTTTACTTGGCAAAAGGGGCTTTGAAGATAGCATTAAGATTCTTGAGATGAAGAGATGAGCCTGGATCATCCAGGGTCCTTCAAAGAGGGAACAGGAGAGTCAGAAATGACAGAGGTGACATAATGACAGAAGCACAGTGGGGAAGGGATGTGAAGATGGACGCAGAGATTTGAGAGATGTAGCCATGAGCCAGGGAAGGTAGGCAGCTTAGAGGAGCTAGGAAAGGCAAGGAACAGATACTCCCCTGGAGCTTCCAGAAGGAACACAGCCCTGGTGACATGATTTTAGCCCTCTGAGACCCATTTCAGACCTCGGACTTTCAGAACGGTGAGATAATACCGTTGTGTTGTTTTCGGCCATTAAATCTGCAGTGATTTGTTATAGCAGCCATAGGAAAAAGGAACTGGATTCCTGCTTTGTGGCTTGGGAACAGAGTGGGACAGTGAGCTCCTGATGCTGAGCTTCAATCCCTCTTTAGCCCTAGGGTCATACCAAGTTCTTTCGCTCCATCAAAGGTGAAGCCTAGGGTCTAGAGCACAACAAGAAACAGCACTGGGGGCTTCAGAAACCACAGAGAAAGCGTAAAAGTTAACTATTGGGCAGTTGAGTGTCACTTCTGTGGTCGGCAGGTGGAGTGCAGGGGCACAGAGGAGACAGCTGCTGAGGGAGAGCTTCTCAAATCACCCTGTCCCCTTCCTTCCCACCTCCCATTAGGGCTGCATCGAACCTGCCTTCCAGGTGGTGTTGCCTTCACTCTAAACTGGGGACCGCTGCGTATGGAGTGAAGACAGGCCATTTTCTAGCTGTGTGGACTTGGGCAGGTTAGTTAACATCCCGGGCCTTGCTTTTCTCATTTTAAAATGGTGATGATGGTAATTACCTGAAGGATCTTATAGTAAAGATAATGCAATACCTGACACACCAGGTGCTCGATATTAAAATGTCTTCTGCCCCTCTTCCCTTCTGCCTTGGAGTATGCCTTCTCTGAGAGATTTCCTTTGTGGTAAGTGAAGCTGGCAGCACCGTAGTTCCTACCCAGCACAGCCTTGTGGATACTGTCCCACGGTCCTCACCCAGGCTTCCTGATCCTCAGAGATACTTCACTGTAGGTCGGGTTGATGTGCTTTCTTCCCTGTCACGGCAGGAGTGGACTGCTGCACCTCCTGGTGAACTTGCAAACACTGGCAGTCATGATTGCCTAGAAAACATGTTTTCGGCCATTTCCCCGTTATTTTCACAAAAACTATCTTACTTTGTCCTTACAACAGCTTTGGGAGAGCATCATTGCCCCATTTTACAGACAGGCAATTCAGTTCGGGGACGCATTGACCTGCATCTGGCTGCCCATCAGGACTTTTGCTCTGATAACCTGTTCATTGCACATGGCCACTCTAGGTTTCATCTGGTGTCTCTGTCTGTTTGGAGTTCTGTAACAAAATGCCATAGACTGAGTGGCTTACATGACAGACATCTATCTCTTACAGTTCTGGAGACTGGCAAATCCAAGATCAAGGTGCCAGCAGGTTTGATTCTTGGTAAGGGCTCTCTCCCTGGTTTGTAGATAGTCACTCCTCCCTGTGTGCGCAAATAACCTTTCTGCGATGGGTGTGCACAGAGAGAGAAAGAGACTTCTCTTTCTCCCTCTTCTTAAAAGGGCATTAATCTTATAAAGGATACACCCTCATGACCTCATCTAAACCTAGTTAATTCTCAAAGGCCTCCCCTTATTAGCGATAACGGCTTCAACATATGAATTTTGGAGAAACACAAACTTTCAATCCATGATGCCTGAGCATGCATCCTCAGGTGAAGGCGAACTGTGAGCCTCTCTAGGGCCTTCTAGGGAAAGGATCCTTTCAAAGGCACTTTGGAATGCAGGGAGTGCATTCTTCCTAATTGCATGAGCCTATTCCCAGGTAGACCTTCTCTTATAAACAATACACAGATGGTCTGTCACTTATGATGACTTGATTTATGAATTTTTTACTTTGTATTGGTATTTTAATTTTTTTGCATCACTCTTTTATGATACTGATATGGAAAAAAGATTTAGTACAGTTATGCTCAAAATGAGTACTGGGCCCTTGCGACAGGACCACACAACAAAAGTAGTAGGCATTTGGTAGAAACCATATCTAAAGTACCCATGCTGTCATTTTGTTTTTCATTTTTGGTATAGGATTCAACAAACTACATGAAATATTTAACACTTCATCATAAAATAGACTGTGTTAGATGACTTTGCTCAGCTGTAAGCTATCAGAAGTATTCTGAGTAGCTTAAAGTATGCAGATGAGGCCCAGCCAATGTCCTGTGGTTAAGTAGGTGGAGCCCACATGACCCACTGCACTATTTTAGTCCCAGTCCTAGTGACTTGAAAAACATGCTGGACACATGTGCATGTGTGCCAAAAATCCTAAGAGAAGAAGAGATTGTAGCATGACCATCTCCCATGGGAATTTTCTCTCTCTCTTTCTCTCTCTCTCTCTCTCTCTCTCAGTAAGCACACCTGCTCTGCAGCAAATTTTTAAAAGAAAAAAGTAGGCTAGGTTAAATATGGTGTTACTAGGTTAGGTATATTAAATACATTTTCAATATATGATAGTTTCAATTTAAATTGAGTTACTGGGATGCACCCACATTTAAATTAAGAATAATCTGTATGTTGCAGTGGTTCTATTTCTCTGAGAAATCTGACTAATACACCTACCTAGAAGTTACTCTGGGCCAGGATACCTAGAAAATAGATTCTGCTCTATAAAATCTCTCTCTACTTTTTTTTCTTTCCTTTTTTTTAAATGAATTTCCATGATCACCAAGAGTAAGGGGCAAGAGATTATGTCTTGAATTATGTTCGTTACTTTCTGAGCTCAAACTGAAGGTTTCAGGTACAAGAACACAATATCCCCATCCTCTGCTCCTCTTGGCATTAAACAGATATTTGTCTACCACCATCTGAAATACGAGAGGTTACCAAAAAGTTTCACATCCTTTCTGATATCCCGTTTTTACATAAGAGAGTTAAAATGTTCAAGCAAGTGTCCTTGTTCTGATTGCTGTGTTTATAATTTCTGCAGATTCAGTTGGTTAAAAAAATAGAATTATATATTTGACGAAACAAGATCCTTCAACAAGGAGCTCCAATATTAACCCACTGATATTCGCCAGTTCTTGCCTCTATGAGCTATTTTGTAATCGATCCTAAAATAAGGAAGTAAGGAATGTTTTTTAGATCTGTTCCAGCACAACTATATCTGTTTTCCTCCTTCTAGGAAAGGAAGAAGGACCAGACAGATGTTTCCGAAGAAAGCCACATAGGCAGATCCAAGACACAATGTTTTTAGCCAAAGAGATTAGTCTGAAGACAGTGAGAGAAAGAGAATACATGCACACACGCACACACACACACACACACTATTAAATTTTTTATTTTATATATATGTACAAATATGTGCATATATGTGTGTGAGCATGCACACACCACATATAAATAAAATTGTTTTAAAAATCTGTATTTTGTCCCAGCCTGTGATGGGAATGGTACCATGTCATGGGCAGTAAGATGATGTAATGCTGGAACCATATGGAAAAGCCTGGGGTCTGGATCCCAGATGAATCCAAACATACTGGGTGCCAGTGATCTTGGCTGACTGGAAGCCTAGGGTAGGGGTTGGGGGAGTTGGCAGTATAAGACACTGTTTGGGATACCTCTCTCTCTCTTTTATGTAAATAACTAAACTTTTTGTTTTAAATTCTGTTTTTCCTCCAGGACCAGAAATGTCTTGAGACAGTGTATGAGATTAGACAGCTAATAACTGTATTTCTTTGGAATAATCACATTTTTTTTTTGAATCCTGGTTTCCCAAAGTTCTGAAGGCAAAGAGATAAGTTTTTAATGGAATCTCATTTTTATTTATCCATGGAGAAATTATTGACTCAATAACTGTTTAATTTTAAACAAATCGTTTAATGCCAAAGCAAGGCTGTATGATATATAATAATTCCTCAACAATTATTTGAATTCTTGAAAAGAACATTCTAGCTTGTTTTGTCAGCAGGACATATCTGTAAGCTTTCTCTGGCGCTGCTGCCACTCATATAGTGCCAAATACCCCAGGGTCTGAGCCTTATCTGGGGCTAGCTTTGGAACACTGGTAAATTTCTTTTTCTTTAAAACTTTTATTTTAGAGTTACCCTTTATAATTTGATCATTTCTACCAGCAGGTCAAGGTACACTAACGATAAGCAATATTTGTTAAATGTCCAGAGACTTAGTAAATGTTTGGTAACAAACTTGCACTTTGCACTTACAAATCTTTAGACCTTAAGCTTTCAATTGCATTTCCACAAAGCACATCAATGGATCTCTTCACCATTCTGGTCATTTGCCTTTCTTGTTTGATTCTTCTCTCTCTGTGGAATGGAAGCCATGGCAAAGGGAAGCTCCCACCTGGTCCTACTCCTCTGCCAATTGTTGGAAATCTTTTGCAATTAGATTCTAAGGACATCACCAAATCCATAAAAGTGGTAAGTACAATTAATTTTCTCCCTGTTGTTTGCAGTAAGTAAACAAGACATCCTTATTACCAACTAAAATAACTTGGCCTCACACCAAATTTTAAAGAGATGCTTAGGGCCAGCAGATGGCACCGTGCTTAATGCACTGGACTCCCACGTGGGTGACAATGGTTCAAGTCCCAGACCTGGAGGCTTGAAAATCCTGCCAGGTGTGTATGTGTATGTGTGTATATATTAAAAATTGTGGGAAGAGAATGGAGGAGAAGGGATTCTGGTGTGTCCATTCCCCCAAGGCAGTAATTTCTCACTTTCCTCTTACTGTTTCTTTCTGTCTCTGTTGAGCACATGTGCCCTATGGCAGAAAGTTTAAAAAAGAGAGGAAGAAATGCTCATTGATGGAAAAGAAGCAAACTAAAATATTGAAGAACTGGTTTTTTGTTTGTTTGTTTTGAGAGAGGTTTTCACTATAGGGCGCATCTGCTCGCCAGACAGACTGAGAGAGACAGAGAGACAGAAAGCGAGAAATCACCCCCCGGGGGAGATGATCACGCTGCAATCCCTTCTCCTCCATTCTCCTCTCTGGATCTTGGGCATGCACACACATGCGTCTGGCGTGAGTTTTAAGCCACCAGGTCTGGGACGCGAACTGTGGTTGACTACATGGGAGTCCAGCAACATAGCCATTATGCTAACTGCCGGTTCCCTTGTTTGTTTGTTTTTCTAAGCCAATATGAGTGGCTGTGTTCTGGGAAAACATAAACTCAAGAAGCCTTGAAAAAGTACTCCAATGTGGGACCCAACAGTTAGCGTAATGGCTATGTCGCTGGACTCCCACGTAGTCGACCATGGTTCGTGTCCTGGACCCGGTGGCTTAAAACTCACGCCGGGCGCGTGTGCGTGTGTGCCCAAGATCCCGAGAGGAGAATGGAGGAGAAGGGATTGCGGCATGGCCATCCCCCCTGGGGGGTGATTTCTCGCTTTCTGTCTCTCTGTCTCTCTCTGTCTGTCTGGCGAGCGCATGTGTCCTATAGCGGAAAACAAAAACAAAAACAAAACAAAACAAAACAAAAACAAGAACCTCTCCCAAAAGATGTACTCCAAGGTGTCAAGTTACAAAAAACTCTAACACATTTATTGGTAGAGCAAAAACTATAAGCAAAGTTATAAATCAATACATGGAAGGTCTACATTGGTTTGGCCCCAGAAGGTGGGATACTTGAAAGCTTAGGCTTATAGGCCATAAGCATCATGGTTCAGAGTAAGACTCCAGAGGAGGTCACCTCGAGAGAAAAAGGAGAGTTTATTGAGTAAAGGTACCTGGGGTGGTCTGAAGCCAGAAGTGATTTATAGGGCAACTGATGAAGCTATCAGGGTGTTTTCTATGCAAAAATGTGTCATGACTTTTCCAACAACCCAATATTTTGGAGATTATGTGTATGACATATATGTAGGTGTGGTCGAGTGTGGTGGGATCAGCACATTTCACACATACCGGACATCTTTAGGTTTTTGTTTTATTTTGGGCCACTAGACCCTGTACTTGTTTTGTGTTCTTGTGTAATAGTTTTTTATAATGCCAAAGCAAAGCTTTGTGAAATTCTCACTTTTCCCCTACTTGTGTTTCTTTTCCAGCTGGCAAAAGAATATGGCCCCGTGTTCACTGTGTATTTAGGTATGAAGCCCACTGTGGTGCTGCATGGATATGAAGCAATTAAGGAAGGCCTGATTGACCGAGGAGAGGAATTTTCTGGTAGAGGGGCTTTTCCAGTGATAGACAGAATTTTCAATGGATTAGGTATGCACTTTGTGTAATGTATATGACTTTTAAAGTTGAAAAGATCTCAAAAAGGCTAAGAAATTGAGAAATTATGAGAGTGTAGAGAAACTTATGAAACATACTTCTCATAAATTCAGCATAAGCTTATGAATAATTTTTTATAAAGAATCATTTATCTATTTTTAAACCTGTGTATATGATATAAAGTCTTGCATGAGATATTAAATTTAATATAAACAAACTACCTAATTGCTAAGATCCTATGAATTATAACTGAGACAAATTCATTTTAAATGATGGCCAGTTAAGATAATGAGTGAGACATTTTGCTTCTTATAGCTTGATTCGTGGATGTCAGGGAACTCCTTTAGGAAGTGTGTACAGTATGCATGGAACCAACATAAGTTAGGACTATTTTGGCTTTGTCTTCAATCATCTATTCATCTAAAATGTATAAGAAATATTTAAATCCAGTAGAATACAAAGCATAGAGCACAGCAAAGCTCTGATAAAAGAATCAAGAATCATGTAGGGAATAATGAAACATAATAGGAAAGGCTTTTGGGGGGCTGACCCTGAAGCCTAGTAGTTAAGAGAGCCAGATCCCACATGGCCAACTGTGGTTTGTGTAGCAATACTGGTGGGTTGAAAAATGCCTGATATCAGATCAGTATGCATGCATGTTCCAAATCCTGACAGGATGAAGAAGTGGAGGAGAAGGGATTATGGTGTGACCATGATGCCTCATTTAGGATTACTTTCCCCTTTTCTCTGTCTGTCTCTGTTGAGCATACATGCCCTCTGGCAATAAACACACACACACACACACACAAAGCTTTTTAAAATAATTAAGTTGAACTATTTTTTTTTTGACAGAGAGTTTTTCTATAGGGCGCATGCACTCACTAGAAAGACAGAGACAGAGACAGAAAGCAAGAAATCACCCCCAGAGGGGATGGCCATGCCTCAATTCCTTCTCCATTCTCCTCTTGGGATCTTGGGCATGCATGCATATGTGCCTGGTGTGAGTTTAAGCCACCAGGTCCAGGACTTGAACCGCAGTCAACTACATGGGAGTCCAGCAACACAGCCATTATGCTAACTGCTGGTCCCAAGTTGAACTATCTTTCATTTCTTTTTGGAGTTGGCCTTAAAGTATCCAGTCTTCTGGTGGATCACAGGATTTCTGGTAAAGAAGTAGGTCTTTCCCTGCTCAACCTAAGTAGTCCAGACACAGTGGCTTGAGACTAAATGTGCTGGGACAGGAAGATTATGACAAGGCAAGAGCTTCTCAAAAATCTTTCTCATTAAAAAAAAAAATGAAAAAGAGGTAAGGACTGAATGAGGCCCTTGACTCTTTTGCATTTTTCCCTAGGCTGCTTCCTAGACAAGTTTCCTATGAGGTTATTTTTTCCCCCAATCTAGTCTTGACTTTGAAGTGTGATGTGGAACATCCTGGGTGCTAAGACCACACATATTTCATGGGAGAGAGGAGCTACTTGGAAATGGCATATCCTTATCTGGAACATGTTGGCATGCGATTCTTCCCAATGTAGATGAGCTTTATTGTCTTCTCTTGAGAATTATCTCCTCTTGCTGTTTTTCCTAACATTCACCTGCAATCAGAAAAGTAAGCCCTGAAAATTCAACCTATCTCTTGGACATTTTGCCACCATCATCTTCAGCATCCTTGCTAGTAAAATGGGAACAAAACATTTGGATCACAATGTTATTCTGAGACTTGGAGGAGCTGATGAATAGAGAGTTTAGTGAAATGTAAAATCCAGAGTTCTGGTAGTAAAATATTAGGTTGAGTTAAGAGAGCAGGCAGGTAAGGCAGGGCTTAGTTCAGCTAGAATTCAGGACAATGGAAAAAAGTCTTCTCTTTTTAAAAATTATTTTCTTATTTTTTTTTTCTTGATAGGAATTGTCCTCAGTAATGGAGAAACATGGAGACAAACCAGGCGTTTCTCCCTCTCAGTTCTACGGAATATGGGGATGGGAAAGAAAACTATTGAAGACAGAATTCAAGAGGAAGCATCATGTCTGGTGGAAGCCTTAAAAAAAACCAATGGTGTATATTTCTTCATATAATTAGTAGTAATAATCTGGCTAGACTATACAGGGTTACAAAAAGACTGAAGAAGATGTGACTTACATAGAACAGAAATTTGTGTTTTGCTCACATCACAGTAGTAATCAGCTGATGATGCAAGAATAATTGGTGCCATGTAATTTCTTTGATCTTTTGGGGCTGAATCTGATAAACACATGTGACTTCCTTTAATCTGATACTGCTCTGCAGTACTGATAATAGCATGCAACTATCATGTTCATATATTAATTGCTTTCATCGCTATGCAAATTAAGCTCACAGAACTGCATTTCTGTATGTGTCTGAAGGTCACCATGTTTGTTCAGAATGGCCACTCCACAGCTTCTTCTTCTTATTATTATTTATTATTATTATGTATATATTCAAATATCATTATACATTCAACCCTTTGGGTTGATTCCATGTCTTAGCAATCTTGAATAATGCTGCAGTAAATATAGTTGTGCAAGTTCTTTTCCAACTGAGTGTTCTCCTGTCCTTTGGGTAGATAACCAGAAGTGGAATTGCTGGATCATATAGTAGTTCTATTTGAAGGTCTTTGAGGAAACTCCATATTGTTCTCCACATTGGTGGACCAATTTACATTCCCACCAACCATGTAGGAGAGTTCCTCTTTCAGCATATCCCCTCCAGCACTTATCTTTTTTTTTTAATCTTTGCCATTCTGACTGGGGTTAGGTGATATTTCATTGTGGTTTTGATCTGCATCCCTTATGATGAGGGATGTTGAGCATTTTTTTCATATGCTTTTTGGCTGTTTGTATGTCTTCCTTAGAGAGTTGTTTATTCAGTTCATTTTCTTTTAATTGAGTTAATCATCTTTTTTTTTGAGTAAGCTGCTTGAGTTCCCTGTGTATTCTGACTGTCAGTCCCTTATCTGAGGCATAGTTAACAAAAATTTTCTCCCATTCTGAGGGCTGTCAATTCACACTAATTACTGTGTCCTTTGCTGTGGAGAAACTTCTTAATCTGATGTAATCCAACCTGTCTATTTTGGGGATTATTACCTGTGCTTTTGGGGCCTTGCTTAAGAAGTCTTTGCCTACCCCAATGTCTCCCAGAGTTTTCCACCAGTAGTTTTATAGTTTGAGGTCTTAGGTTTAGCTCTTTGATCCAATTTGAGTTGATTTTTGTTAATGGTGAGAGATAGGGGGTTTAGATTAATCTTTCTGCAGGCTCTCCAGTTTCTGTTTTTTTTTCCCAAAAATTGTTGAGTTCAACTCTTTGTAATTAAACAGCTAATTTAAGATTTATCTGAAAATTGGATATTAACTTGTAACTTCTACTGTTTTAGCATCTCCCTGTGATCCTACTTTCCTTCTCTCCTGTGTTCCCTGCAATGTGATCTGCTCCATCATTTTTCAGAATCGTTTTGACTATAGTGATCCAAAATTTCATACTTTGATTAAGTATTTTCATGAAAATCTCAGAATTCTAAGCACTCCCTGGATACAGGTAAGGTCAATGTTCTTTATATTTTATTTATTTTTTTTATTCAAAAAAAAAAGTCAGAGAGTATGTGTGTTCACCAGAAAGGCAGAAAGAGAGAGGGAGAAAGTATCCCCGAGGGGGCATGATCACATAGCAATACATTCTCCTCCATTTTCCCATCCTTAAGGGACTTTAGGCATTCATGAACATACACCTGAAGTGTTGTTCAAGCCACTGGGGCTGAGATTTGAACTGCTGTTGGTCACTTGGGATCTGACCTGCTTTAACCACCAGTCTAGCCTTGGGGCTAGCCCCAAGGTTTTCTTTATTTTATATTCATTAAACTTTTTTTAAAAGATTTTTACTATAGGGTGCATGCATTCACCAAAGAGACAAAAAGTGAAAAATCCCTTCTCCTCCATTCTCCACTCAGGATTTTGGGTACCCATGAGCACATGTCCAGTGTGAACTTTAAGCCACAGGGACCGGGACTTAAACCTTGGTCAACCACGTGGGAGTCCAACAATGTAACCATTACAGCATCTCCAGGTCTTCCCTAGATTTTAAATGCTCATAATTTTCTAGTTCTTGTTTGTAGAAAAATGTAAAAATAAATAAATGAAAGAAAAAAATTTTCTAGTTCTTCTCTACTCATGCCTACTCATCCCTCAACCCCACTTAAAAGTGGCCAAAGTAATATTTATCAAACTGCTATTTGTAACATGTGAGTTATCAAATCAATTTTAATGTATCGTAATGAAATGTAAACTATGAAATAACATAGACTAGAAAAAGAAATATATCAAAGTATTTCACTTATAAAGTATTTTTTTGAGAAACATTTTTTTTTCTTTTTCTTTTTTTTTTATATCTACAGGTATACAGGGTCATGATGTGAAATACATTTCTGGCTATGGTACAAGGTCAAAAACTGTTAGTGTTTTACCATCATTAACAACTGAAATTCTGTACAGTTTATAAGGTTATAACATGTTATAACATATAACAGCTGGGAAGGACCTTAGAGGACAAATCATCTCCCTTTCATTGTTTAAAACAGGAGACTGTGATCCAGAGCTATGTGCCATATTTTCCAAAATGGCCTAGTTGATACAATGAATGAACTAGATCTAGAATCTAGATTTCTTGACTCTCTATCTAGTTTGAGTCAAGCTACTGGCCTGAATAAATTGAGCTGCCTTGGTGATTACGAAGGGTATTGAGGTGCTGTCTCATGCAGGGCCAGTGAGCTCTAGGACCAGAAAAGCCCAGACAGGTCAGGTAAGTGTGCACACTCCTGAGAGTGAAATATGCCTAAATAAAAAAAGCTAAGTGACCTGGGCACTTCCTCATCTTTCCAACGTACTGTTTCTTTATTACACGAAAGGAGGATGAGCCTTGATAACTTTTTAGGTGATTTCTTAGAGAAATATGTGTAGGGTAAACTGGGATGAACGCTGGGTTCTAGCTCTAATATCACTAGCTTCCTGTCTTAGAGTAGTTGACTGACATTTCTGAACCTCTATATTCCCGTTTGGAGAGAGATGATGGCAGTGGTAAGTTCCCAGCTTCTTTCAGAAAGCGATGGTTAGGGAATGAGTGTAAGTGGTTTCTTTGTTTTGTAACTTATGTGTTGTGCAATTCTGACTATTTTATCAGCGCCTTTTCCTTCCACTTCCAAGTATGTTCTAGTGTGAGAAGCACATCTCACCCATCTTTACCTACTTGGCATATAGCAAAGTGACACAAAATAAGAGCTGGTAAATGTTTGCTGAGTGAATTAATGAAGGTGTCTTCCTTCTTTCAGCTCTGCAATACTTTCCCCCTTTTATGTTACCTCCCCGGAAGTCATAATGATCTGAAAAAAATCATTGCTGATCAGAAAAAGTTTATTTTGGAGAAAGTAAAAGAACATCAGGAATCTCTGGACCCCCATAACCCTCGGGATTATATTGATTACTTCCTGATTAAAATGGAAAAGGTATAATGTGACCCAGGTTTGTTATTTCATCTTCATGGGTGACATGACCCATTGATTCATTTGTTTTTTCTAGTGAAACATGTATTCAATGATCCTTCCTAAAGAGTATTTATTTCTGGGGTCAGAAGGTGGCATGGTGGTTAAGGCACTGGGTTCCCACATGGCTGACTGTGCTTCATGTCCTGGACCTGGCAGCTTGCTTTCTCTCTTTCCTTCTCTCTTTGATGAACTAAAATAATAATAATAATAATAGTAATAAATAAAATTAAATTAACACTTTAAAAAAAGATTACACTTTACCTTTGCAACCTATTGCTTGTACAACCACATTGAGTACCTTGATATATTTCTAAATCTTCTCTGAAAAAAAGACTTAGAAGCTTTTATATTTACCATGTTAAATCTGGTTCTTTATTTGGTAGCAGCTTAACACACACACACACACACACACACACACATATACAAACAAATACACAAGCATTCAAAACTGATGATAACATATCATTGTACCTAAAATAAATTCCATAAATGGAAAATGTAGCAAATGAGAAAACACAGGAATGGCTAAGGATGCAGAAAGGCTTAACTTTGGAAAAATTCTAGGAAATCATCACAGATGAGGTCGGTTTTAAGAAACTTGGCTTAGATTAACAGGGAGGACAAAATAGGTATGAGGAGTGATACATGTAATGATCTAATGTTTGAAATTTTTAATTTTTCTTCTTTTTAAAAAAATTTTGCCATAGCATGTTCACACTGAATAAAGACAGATGGGCTGGGGTATGAGAAAGCATCCCCCTGGGGGACGACCTTGCCACAGTCCATTCTCTATTCTCTTTCCAAGATTTTGGGCATGCTCACATCCGGCATGTTTTTCAAGCCACCCCATCTGAGACTCAGACTGTGTGATTGGCCATGTAGCATCCAGCTGCCTTGACCACCCTGCCACATGCTGGCCTGTGAAATTTTCTAAGAGGTTTTCTTGATTGTAATTGAGGAAAGTTGGTGGGCACGATGACTGATAAGGTGGAGACTAGTGATGCAGTTTGTGGGTGGGTGGTTCTAGAGGCTCGGATGACAAATTCAGACATGATTACATAGATAACACATGCTAGAAAGACCAAGAAGAGATTCAGTGTGGTTGGCAGTAAGTAGCAATATGACTCAATAAAAATTACTCTCGAAAGAAATTAGACAGGAACTGATTGGCTCTAGTGGGTAAGAAAGTGAGCAATCAAAGGGAACTTGGAACTTTGTAACTCTGATTATATTTTAAGTTTGAAGGAGTCCCAAAAATTCATCTAACTTTAACTTTAGTTCTAACACTCTCTAATGTCTGGTTTAATTTGCCAAATATGGATGTAATAGTGACTTACTTTATAGTACTCATAAGGCTTTTTTAATGAATCAACTAGTTCTAATATATCATTGCCAGGAAAAGCATAACAAGCAGTCTGAATTTACCTTGGACAACTTGATCGCGACCGTATGGGATTTGTTCAGTGCGGGAACAGACACAACAAGCACCACGCTCAAATATGGACTCTTGCTTCTGCTGAAGCATCCCGAGATCTCAGGTATGATCACAGCTGATGGGCAGATGGCATTGCAGGTGGAAATTGCCAGGCCACACTGATAACCATCCCACCCTTTGCCTGCCTAGACAATGTGCAAGAAGATTTCCCATCATTAGTACATCTCCCTACCACTGGGTGAATTCTATTCAAATTAGATCAAAGTATAAAAAGAGAATGAAATGATAAAACAACAGCAGAGGTTATTCTTTCCCCTGCTGTTGTGCAGTATCCTAGATTCGGGTTGTAATAGTTGTAGTAATCCCAGTTGGCTTAGGATCTGGGAAGAACTAGCCTCTCTACTTTTCCAAAAAGATTACCCTTGACATGACTTCCTTCTGTGATTTTAACAAATTTTCCACTTTGTTAAAAGTCCTTTTTTCCTCCCACTATAAATAGGAGATGCTTTCTGAGCAGAGCAATTTAAAAGCATAGTCCAGAAATGTATTTGCTAGTACACCTTGAGAGGTATGGTTCTTCCATGTTTCTTTTGCTTGACATATACTCTCTCAGCCAAATATCTTCACTCTTACAGGACTTAGGATAGGGGGCCAGCTGGTGATGTGGTGGTTAAGGCTCTGGACTCCCCCATGGCCAATCAGGTCCCAGACCTGGTGTCTTGCTTTCTCTCTGTCCTTCTCTGGTGGGTGCATATGTCCTATAGCAAATTAAAATATAATAATAATAAATTAAATAAATCAATTTTGATTATTTTTGAATTATTATTCATACATCAAATTGCTATATATCATTTAGATTGTGATATACACCTCATGATATACACCTCAGTCCAGCCCAGCTGAGACTATTACACACATCCTCGTCAATAGATAAAAAACCTTATCTGTGTCCCACAAGTATCTTACCTCTCCATTTTCCCCTAAAATTCCTTTCCTATGCTCTTCCCCCTCCCACACTCTCTTTCCACTTTGTCTCTAGTGTCCATTACAATTTTTAATGCTTTTATGTTCTCCAGTCTTTCAATCTCTACCATAGAGTGAGGACAATCAGTATATATTAAGTGGAGATGTTCAATATCTCCCTTTCATAGCCTGACGTGCTTCACTCAGCAACAAATCTTCCATATTCATTCACTTTCTATCAAATTCCATGGACTGATGGTTTTTTTTATGGCTGAATAGTATTCCATGGAGTATATGTGCCATAATTTTTCAATTTTTAAAAAATACTTATGATGTTTATGACTAGAAAAATATATAACATTTTCCTCTAAGTCTTTAAATCTTGTGCACATTGTAAAAGCCCTCCTTGTGATATATTTCCTCATCACTTTCATTTTCATTTTTCTCTTGGCTTTTTCCTTCAAAATGTGTGTATGTGTTTACTTTCTTCCCATCTTTACACCATTACTATACCATTCTACTGAGAATTCTGATTTTTTTTAGAAGTTTTTTTCTTAGGGTGCATGCGCTCATCATAAAGAGAGAGAGAGACAGAGAGCGAGCGAGCGAGCGAGAGAAAGTGAATAGGAAAATTAGAAATCACCCCCCATGGGGGATGACCACACCATGATCCCTTCTCCTCCATTCTCCTCCAGGGATCTTGGGCACACGGGTACATTCTACTGGTGTCTGGTGTGATTTTCAAGCTACTGGGTCTGGGACTTGTGAGACCATGTGAGAGTCTACCAGTATAACTGCTATGCTATCTGCTGGCCCCAAGAATTCTGTTTTATAAGTAGTTTCTGACTGCTTTATATTGTCACTCTCTTCTAGATGAAATGCCCCCATGTGACAATGAATAAGGGACCAAATAGAAGATGTTTCAAGTTAGTTTTTCTTCCCATTTCACATAAATTCTGGTTACCGCTTTTCCAGCTAAAGTCCAGGAAGAGATTCACAATGTGATTGGCAGACACAGAAGCCCCTGCATGCAGGACAGGAGCCGCATGCCCTACACGGATGCCGTGGTACATGAGATTCAGAGATACATCGACCTGGTTCCCACTAATGTGCCCCACACAGTAACTCAGGACGTTAAGTTCAGAGAATATACTATTCCAAAGGTGAGAGCCGTTTTCTCTATGCGCTCCTTACCACAGTGCTGGCCTAATAGATGGCCAGACCATCTGTGGGGTACCGAGCAGTCACGACTCAGGCATTCCGGTCTCTGAACGCATGCTCCTTTCCCTCTAGTTTGCTTTTTCTAAATATACTAGTGCTTATACTTCCACAGGATCTTTTTTGTTTGGTTTTTTTTTTTGGTTGTTGGTTTTTTTAAATTTCTTATTTATTTACATTTAATCATGCCTTTACAGTGTACAACATTTCTTTTTCTAGCACAACCATACATGTCAGTCAAGGCAAAGATATCATTATATACATGGTCATCAGCAAATAGCTTCTCTTTTTTGTCAATTAAGCATACCTTTACTTGTTTTTTTCTTCCCCTTCCCCTTCCTTCCATACTAAACGTTTTTCCCCCATGTTTTATTGATTCACAAAAGATCTTAAACTAAAAATATGGACAAAGCTAGAATCTAGTGACAAATGTATTGTGATTTTCTACTAAAACATTTATTTTCTCTCTCCATGCTCTTTACTAAAGAGAACTGTAAACTAATTTATTTGCAAAAAAATTAGGTTAATCTTAATGTGGTCTGTTATTTGTTGAAAGCCCCATAAGAATTTAGTTTCTGATACAAGGCAACAGATACTGTTTGTATTATTGAACTTATGCAAATAACCATTCTGCAACAAAATAAGAATGCTCACAAATATTTTCCAATTGCAAAGGTGTCAGGAAGGGAGAAAAGTTTTTTTTTTTTAAATGGAGAAGACAACAAATATTTTTATCGATGTGAATGAGGAGTGCACACATTCACCATTTTTATACATTTTAAAAGATATATATAGGAAAATTACACATATGTATGTATCTATAAAATAGATACATACTGGGACCAGCAGTTAGAGTAATTGCTAGGTCGCTGGACTCCCACGTAGTCGACCGCGGTTCGAGTCCCGGACCCGGTGGCTTAAACTCACGCCGGGTGCGTGTGCGTGCGTGCCCAAGATCCCGAGAGGAGAATGGAGGAGAAGGGACTGCGGCGTGGCCATCCCCATTGGGGGGTGATTTCCTGCTTTCTATCTCTCTGTCTCTCTCTGTCTGTCTGGCGAGCGCACGCGCCCTATAGCAAAAACCTCTCCAAAAAAAAAAACAGTATATATATATGTATACATACAAATTATATGTATAATAATTATAAAATGCAAAATAGTTTTTGGATTTTTAAATATAAAATGGAACAATTGGACAAAGTAGTTAACGTGTATGTCATCTGAAATATTTCACATTTTCTTTTTTTTGAGATTTTTTTCTTTTTCTAATTTTTCTTTTTTTAATTTAAATTTACTTATTTACATTCATTCATTGTACATCATCACAGCATACAAAATGAGATTTTTTCCATCCAGTTTACACTATATATTGGCTCAATCAAGCACATCAACATACATGTTATCATCAACAAATAATTTTCTAATTCTTGTTTCCTGTATGTTTTGCTTTTTTTTTTTTTCCCATCCTGATTCCCAGTCTCTTACCTATTGCCATCTCCCACTCTACTATCACATTGTCTCTGGTATCTATGTTTGCTTTCTATACCTTTTCCCCCCATATTTTATTGAGTCATTAAAGATCTTAATTAATCTAAATATTTTCTTAGCAAGCACAGGTGATACATACATTTCCATGAACACAAGTCCAAGTTTAGGCATAAGCTTCAGTGAGTAGAATGAACATCCTATAAAGTAGCACCTAGCTGGGGCTATATAGCTAACTGCAGTCATCATATAGGTATTTTTAATGCATTATTTTATTTCAAGAAAAACAGTTTTAGTATTTTTTATTTTTCTGAACCTTTTCTTTCTTTTTTTTTAACTTAATTTACATTCATTCCCTAAGCATCATCATAGCATACAAAATGTGATTTCCCATCCAGAATATACTGCATAGTGGCTTAATCATGCATGTTATTATCAAAAATTTTTCATTTCTAGTTTCTATGTTTTTTTACCCCTATTTCTGACCCTCTGTCCTTTCCCATCCTCTTCTCATACTATCTCTGGTGTCTACAGTTGTCTTCCATTCCTTTTGCCCCCACATTGTATTGATCACACAATTTCTTAAATAATCTAACTACTTTTAATAGCAAGTTCACTTGGTACTATTTAAAAAACCAGTTTTAACTTAAATCAAAGAAATGCTAAGGAACTTTGCTTAAAACTTAAAGCCAGGAAACAGGTTAGGATTCTGTTCAAGTGGTAGGTACATGAACCTATCCATATCTCAAGACAGGACACAAATCCTTACACCCAGATAACAAAGTCTACAAGAAAATCGGCAATGTTTTAGTCAAAAGTCATACAATTATACTCTACCAATTCAGTCTCATGTACTTTATCTTCTGTTGTGGTTAGATTTTCCCAATTAAATTCTAGGATATAATATTCATCTCCAGACTTGTCCCTGTGATTAAGTTGGTGATTTTCTTAGTTTTTGAACTCTTATTTCTGTGTGACTACATTTAATTTTTCTGATATAGCACTCCTTTGAGAACTTCTTGGAGATCTGGTCTGGTGCTGGTAAATTCTTTCAGGTTTTGTTTATCTGAGAATGTTCTTGT